TGATTATACTTCTTTTTCTTGGCGCTGTGAGCGCTTGTGCTTCTACTCACTTTGCTCCTTCTCTTGTCCACATTTTGCTGATTATTACCCTCGGGGCCCTGAGTCTGTCGCGCCGTCTCCGCTTAGAGAGTGTGAGAAAGGGAGGGACGATGACGCACGTCGACCAGTTGCTGGGTGAGTACCTGCGTGTCATTAACTCCAAGGACGACGAAATTCTCGATCTCATCCGTGGCCTCGAGGAACATCGTTGTGAACTGAAGAAGCGAGAGGACCTGCACAAGACAGACGTAGTGGGTACACAGAAAGAGCTAGAGAAGTCGCGACGAAACGTAAGGAAGATGGAACAGCAGCACCGAAAGGATGAGGAGGATATCAACCGGCTTGTTAATCACAACGAGGACATGAAGGTGCAGATTCATGGCTTTCAGCAAAAGTTAGCGGAAACGGCTAAGGAAGTTGAGCAGAAACAGCAAGAGCACACTCGAGAGCTGGAGGAAGCTGGTCAGCGCCATGCTGCGGAAGTTCAGTCTCTTCGAGTGGAGCTTGATGCGCTGAGGGCTGAACAGTCTCATGTACGACACGAGCGTGAGGCTGCACGTACTGCTATTGAGGCAGCTGCGCTGCGAGAGCAGCAGCTTCAGGCGAGAGAAGTGGTCAATGAAGATCTGAGGAACTCGCTGGCGAGCGTGCGACAGGAGATGCTGTCTATGGTTCCAGCGCAACAACATAGAGAGGTCGTAGCTGAGCTCAAAGAGTCGTTGCGCTCTCTAAATGAGAAGTCGACCGCAGAGATAAGGGATTTGAAGGTGGAGTTGTCAAGGGTGAAGAAGGCTGCTGGCAAATACGTAAGCTCACTGAGCGAGCTTGAAGCGTCACAAGCGCAGCTCCAGAAGAAGCAGGTGGAGGCCTTGCAAAGGGAGGAGGAAGCACGCCGGCAGCTGGAGGGGGAGCGCGAATCAAGCAAAAGGCTCTCCGCCTCGCAACAGAAAGAAATCGAGTTGGCCCGCGAGTCGGCTGAGCAGGCAGTGACAAGACTCGAATCTGCTACGCTGCAGCTGCAGCAAAGTCACGACAAGGGGCAGGCAGCGGAGAGGCGGCTGACGGAGATGTCTGAAGCGCTTAAGCAGGAGCGAGAGCGCGCTGGCCAGGAACGCGAGAGGATGTCCCTGCAGCTGAGTACCCTTCAGACACAAACAGCAGAGCAGCAGCGCGAGGCTGAGCGCATGCAGCGGAAGATGGAGGCAGGCACAGCGGAGCTTAAAGTCTGCCACGCAGCCGTGGCCGCCGCGAAGGAAGAAGGGCTCCGCGGCGCTGCAGAGCTAAAGGAGAGGCTCTCGCTGGTGACGGCGGAGCGGGATCGAGAACGGGGGGACCGTGAGCGTATCGTTTTTGAGCTGAAAGATGCGCAGAACCAGTTAAGCATGCTACAGGATCGGAGTATTGACGAGAAAAAAATGCTGGTGGTAAAATTAGATGATGCCAACATGAACATTGAAAGGATGCGAATCCAGCTGAGGGATAAGGAGCACGAACAGCAAGCACTCCTGTCTGCGCAGGAAAAACGGCTGCAGGAGGCCGAGTGGGCACACAAAAGTGAGCTGGCAGAATGTAGAAAAAAGTTGGAGGGAGAAATCAGCGAGCTTCGGCAGCGCCTAGATTCTGCCAATACTCGTATGGCTGAGGAAATAGCCAATCATAAGACACACCAACGCGAACTGGTGGCTTTGCAGGAGACTGTGAGGAGCAGCCGTGAGGAGGGTGAACGCCGGGCTGCAGAAGTGCGTGAGGCTGCGAGGGCTCTTGAGGATGCAAGGCGCGAGGCATCATCATTTCGTGAGATGCTGGCGAAGCAACAACGACAAATAGATGCCGCGGCGGGGAGTGAAGCGAGGCTACGGCAATCAACGGGGCAACTGGAGAGCGATCGCGTGGCAGACGCTAAGAAAAACGAGTCACTCGAACGAGCCCTTGCAGATGCTAAAGAGAGGCTTGGGGAGAAGTGCGACGAGGTTCTGGAGTTGAGACGGCAACTAAAGAGGGCGAATGACGAAGATACCAAAAGAGAATCTGCGGAGCTGGTGGGGAGGCTGCGTGAGTCACAAGGGCGCGTGGAGCAGCTGCAGCGGGAGCAGGAACGTCTCCTCGCGTCTGTAGAGAAGCTGCAGGAGCGCCACAACGCCGCCGAGAAGGCGCAGCGTGAGGCCAACGAGGAGCTTAGCCGCGTCAACGCGGAGCTGCAGAAGAAGGCTAAAGAGTGCACACGGGTCGCACAGCACGCAAAGGAGGTGGAAGACCTTGCGCGACGGAGCTGCGAGGAGCTGGAGCGAGACCTTACCCGTCGTGACGCCACCATCGCGTCGCTCCAACAGGAGGTCCCGCACCTTTTGGAAGAGCGCGCAAAGGTGGTGGTGCTCGAGGAGCGTCTAACTCACCAAGCTGATATAAACCGCCGTGACACAGAGGCACTACAGGGCCGCATTGCACTGCTCGAGAAGGAACTCGATGCGCGTGAAGCGCAACTGCAGCAGCAGGTGGCAGAAACTGATAGTATCGCCTCGCAGCTGCGTCCCATGCAGGACCGTGCTGGTGCGCTAGAGGAGATGGTGAGGCAGAAGGAGAAGAAACATGCTCTGCGCAAGGAGGCATTGCGCAAAGCGCTTGAGCAAGTTGATGTCGCAGCCGCGCGCGCAGCAGAAGCCGAGAGCGAGTTGGCAAAGATAAAGGCCTCGCGCGAGAAAAGTTCCGACGCATGTAAAGCCGAGACACAGCGGCTACAAGAACGACTTCGGGTGGCACTTGAGGCGCAGCATGCCGCTGAGACACGACTGACTGCACAGGAGGTGGCGCTTGCAGAGGCGATGCGGACTGCGACCAGCAGCCAGCAGGCGATGCAGGAGCAGCAGAGCATTTGCGTCGCCAAACACGCGGAAGAGCTTCGAGGGGCAATTGAGCGTGCAAACATGTTGGGTCGAGAAACGGTGCAGGCGAAAGAAGCACTGCGCGCTGCGGAGGTGGAAAAGGAAGAGGCGTTACAATATGCGAGGAATGCGCATCGTAGGATGGCTACCTCGTATAGTCGTCTTGTCACAAACTTTGCAGAAGAGGCGATGATAACGAAGGAGATGTTTGGAGACTTCGCAATCGCGGTCGTCACGCGCTCGTTCCACCAGCTAGGGAGGGTCGCCCATAACGGCTGGGACCTCGCTGTATCGTTTAAACAGCATTGTGGCGAGGAGCTGCAGCAACAGCAAGTGAAGTTGCGGCGTGAGCTTGATGAATTGAAGCGGACCCATGCTGACGAAATGCAGGCGGTGCTCGAAGAACGGAACAAGGAGCTTTCGAAGGCGGCGCTGCAGCACGGCAGCGACATTGCGCAACTACGACAGGAGATTGTGGAGGTGGCGTCGCGAGCCACACGCGAAGGGGAGGCGACAATGAAAGAATACCGCCGCAAGGAGGAGCAGTTTCACCGCGACCGAACAGAGTTGGAGTGCGCCAAACTGGAGATCGCTCACCAGGCGGACCAGATCGCTGCGCTAAAAGAACAACTTCGCTCCTTTGAACAGAGATCAGAGGCGGAACGTTCAGCCCTCGACCAGGAGAAGCGGTCGCTGGAGCAGCAACGGGAGCGTATCCGCCGCCGGCTCGATGACTGCACGGTAGAGCAGAACCAGAGCGAAGTGGAGGTGCGCGAGCTGCGCAGTGAATTGTCGGCTCTTCAGCAGGTTCTGCAGGAAAAGGAAAGCGCGCTAGCTAGTGAGCGTGAGAGAACACGTGAGGAGAACCGCCGGCTGGCCACACTCACCGCCGCGAAGGAAACGCTGCACAACCAAGTCGAGGAGAATCGCCGGCAGATGCAGCTGCTGCAGCAGCAGTTGTCAGCTGCCCGCCAAGGTGCACAACAGACAGGACACACGGCCGCAGCACAGCAGAGTCGAATGGAAGAGCGCATCGCCGAGCTTACGAGGGCCCTCAATGCGCTCGAGTTGGAGAAGCGGCGTCTTGAACGCCAGGTGCGCAACGATGAGAAGAAAATTGGCGTTTTCGAAAAGGAGATTGCAGAGTCACGCAAGCGAGAGGCGGAGCTGTCGAGCCAATTGCAGGCACGCAAGGTAGAGAATTCGGCGCTGAAAGAGCGGTGCGCAAACCTCGAGTCACTGAAGAACATAGCAGAGGTCACCCTCGCGGAGACGAGACTACGGGAGAAGGACCTCGTTGAGAAGATGGAGGAAATGCGCAGCGCACAACAGCTGATGCAGCTCTGCTTCGACAAACAGCAGGAACAACTGGAGGTGGGTCGGAGAATGCACGAGCATGACGTGAACCGCAGCGGTTTCTTATACAAGGACAGTCACTAGGCCGAATATATGTGATATCTTTTCTTCTGTCTCTCTCACTATATATATATATATATATATCCCTTCGCTGTATGCACACAAATGCCCACATACATATGGATGTGTCGGTGTGTGCTTGTGTTTCATAGAGGTGCACTCTGTCCCTTCTCATTTCTCTGGTTTGCACCTTGTCAAGCGGTGTCAGACAAGTGGGCATGCTGTGTCTAACCTTTCAGATTTCAATTTCATTTTTAAGCTCCAACTCTTGCCCTTGTTCTCCTCCTCCTTATCATCTTTCTCCTCGTCCTGGATGTCACAGCAGGAGCAAATGGACGAGGTGCGCGACGGGATTCACCATGCCTGGAAGGGGGCGATGCGCGGGGCGAAGAAGGGGTTCAAGATGACGAAGAGTGTGCTGCGCAGCATCCCCGTCGACCGGCTACGCGTGCCGGGCGCCAGTGGCATGACGGCGAGCAAAAGCAGCGCATTGCGGCGCCTTTTCCAGCTTCGGTACGGCGCACAGATTAACAATGAGCACGGCGAGCGTGTCGCGGCAGCGGAGGTAAGTGATGTGGAGTCTGAGGAAGTGGAAGCCCTGACCGACGAGCAGGTGCACGAGCGTGTCGATAAGAAGTACTTTGACAAGTCGTACGAAGCGATGAAGTATGAGATCACACACATGGATGTAGCTGAAGGCGGAAGCGATGAGGCACAGCAGCGGCAGGCGACGGAGACTGCTATTCGTGAGCTGCGGCAGAAGTGTGATGTTGTGAGTGCAACGCTAAAGAAGCGTGTCTTGGCGAACAGCAAGGGGTTCGTCAACGGGGTGGAGGAGATTCGGCTCATCAACGACGAGCTATTGGCGACGTCAAGCGACTGCAAGAAGGGGCGTAATTACATCCGCAAGGCAAAGAGTGGTGCAGCGGAGCAGATGAAGATATTAGTTTACCACCGTAAGCGCGGCAACTGCAAGGCGACGCTCGGGGTGCTTGATGCGATGCGGCAACTCTGCTGGAAGCGCACCCAGCTACTGACTCTCATAGAGGGTGGTAAGCTCCTCGAGGCAGCAGAACTGTTGCGCCAGCATGCAGATATAGAACAGGAGGAGTGTATCAAGAAGCTGCACTGCATGTGTCAAGTCATTGACGAGTGGAAAGATTACCGCGACAATGGTAAGGCACTTCAACGCTGCCAAGATGCTGCGCTGACAGAGTGTCTGACTGCGAAGTTTATCCCATCGAAGTACCGCAATGCGTTTGAGGCCTCACGTGCCTTGGGCACCGTCGATCACACCTGCAGACTCATCGCGCAGACGTTGTGGGAGTCGGTGGTCTATATCCTCACCAAGTCTCTCACAGAGGTGTCAGACGTCAAAGCGGAAGACGCGTCTATTGCTGATATCGCCGCGGCGATCCACCCCGATCACTTAATGCTCTGTTTGTGCCAGATGTGCACCAAGATGATGGACTTTTTCTACCTCTTTGTCACTGTGCGGAAGATGCACGCCGACGACAGTCGTTCGAGTCACCCACTCACGACGCTCCATGCTGCGGCCCTGCAAGAGATCACAGTGGTGGGGCGGAAACTCGGGCAAGACTTGGTCGAAAAGATCGCCCTCGTACTGGAGAAGTCACGGTTCGACACCGTTGATGTGGAACGGGTCTTGCATATTTTCTTCGTTGTGAGTATGCTTATCGAAGCTACTTCGGCATTGGGGTTGGAGAAGATGGAGCAGGCCGCTGCACGAACACAGGTAAAGGCGTCGCTGGTGCAGTACATCACGCGGCAGTTCCAGGAGCCCAAGGCGATTCAATTGCTGCAGTTTATGGCAGACGACACATGGGTTGTCGGCGATGTTGACGCGTTACAGCTGAACGTTGTGGTCCCACTCCATCCTGAAACGTACCGCCACGCAGTAAAGGAGGTGAAGGCATACCTCACCGACGCCTCCATCGAAACGCCTGGCACTCACGAGAACCCCTTCTACGCCGCACACATGTTGATGCCGCAGGACACGGCACATTTGGTGCACACAGAACCGTTCCGCGAGGAAGCCGCACGCCGTGGGGTGCACGCTACACCGTCCCTCTTGACGTCGTCATCTGTGTCGGTGGCGAATGTGCTGCTGGAGTATGTTGCCCGAATTGTGGCGCGCTTTGCCCCACTCGCAGCGGAGACGCTCGGTTGGGCGGAGGATTTTGTCAGCCTATACGTCTACACCGTAGCCGACAATTTTGTCTCCATATCGCGTGCAGTGCGTCTCGAGCACCAAGCCGACCTGAGCGAGGCGACACAGGCGGTTCTAGCGGAGATGCATGTGGCGGCGGAGAGGGCGGCGCGGCAGCAAATCGCCGATACCCACAGCGCTACAGCAGATAACGACGCCCCCGCGAGCTTTCCCCCACGTGTGTGGGGCCGCATTCGTGGCATCATAGCAAGTCAGGCGCACCAGTACGCTGTCGTGAACCGTGCAGTGGCGGCGCAGTCGTGTGTGACGCTCGTGTACATTTTGGAGGCGACAGTCCGCTCGGTGGCCCCACTGCTGCCACCTGCAACGGTCGAGCAGCGCCTGAGACGCTGTGACGGCATGAAGGCAGCTACTGAGGAACTGCTGCACGTTGGCCTCCACCGTCTTTGTCTGGCTATATTCCCAATGGAAAGCGTCTGTCAGAGCATTAGTAAATTGCGCGGCAACGAGAAGGAGGTGCAGGCAAGTCCGTATGTGCAACAACTTGTGGATGAAATGGTCGCACTCAATAAAAAGCGTTATGTTATGCCGACGCCGGAGCTAGAGCGACTTTTTGTGCAGCGTTTTATCTTCGCCGTTCAGGTGGCATTGCTGAAGGAGTACTGCAAACTCGCCAAGAAGAAGCTTACTGATGCCCTCATCATGCAGATATCTGTGGATGTGCAAAGCCTCCAGCAGCAGGTGGGGGCAAAGTTTGGGAAGTCGTTGCTCGTCCTGCCGGACTATCTTCTTAGTGTCATCAAGGCCGGCTTCATTGAGGGCAGAGAGGAGCGCTTGGAGTGGGTGAAGGCGCACCACGCCGCCTACTGCGCTGTTGACCTAGTGCAGTGGTTCTCCGCCGGTGATCGCACCGTGAGGGTGCAGCTGGAGGATCTGCTGGAGCGGGCGAGGCACAGAGACGTGATACCTGTCTCGGCATTCCGCTAGCACCAGCTCCGTCAGCATCGATGTGATGGCCCCTTTTCACTTTCCTCGGGGAAGGTGGCGGGGCTGCCAAGAGGAAGAAAAAAAAAGGGGGGGGGAGGAGGCAGAACACACGAAAAAAAAAGCAGTGCAGCAATGAAAATCTGATGAATGTAGCATTCACATCGTGATTTTCTGTGGCGTTGGGTTTTTTTTGTTTGCTGTTGTTTCGTGTGGCCTGCCGGCTGCGGGGTGCATCTTTCCTCTCCCCCCTTTCTCCCGGACTACATGTGTGGGGGTGGACGCCGCGGTGTGCTCGGTGGCCTCTCGGACTCGTGCTTCATTTTGTTTTGTTGCTTTTTTTTTTGTTTTGTGATGCTGCTGCTCTTGGCGAGGGTCTTCTTTTGCTTGTTGGGCTTGAA